TTTTCAGGGCCTCCTTAAAACATATTTTGGGTTTATTCAGTGCTCTTTCTCCTCAATGACATTTAGATATTCCTCAGGCAAGATTCTCCAATTCTCAGTCTTTTTTTTTTTTTCACTTTGTCTATTTTAAACAATGCTTATTTGTTCATTGTTGTAGCCACACCAACATCAGCTGCTTCCAGCGGTGGTTGGCCCTTTAGAACCCCCCTGGCTGTGGGCAGTGGAGGAGGAAGATCTGGCACCAGTGTTCTACCAGTGGGTGTTTTGTGGCATGACAGCGGAAGTTACGTGGCACTGCACAAATGAGAGAACTGTTTTTTAGCTCTCAATTCAAGTAGGAGGTGACTGTTCTCGCCCAAATTTTAAATCTCCTACCCTTTTCCTTCATCCTGCCTCATGCCTAGTTGCCCTCTATCAAGGACAAAGACAATGAAATGTTGATCCTTCAGATGCTACCAATGACATAGAATGTCCAGGGTAAGAGAGAGTGGTAACACGGTGTTGTTCCTTACTGTGGTTCATAAGTGAAGGCTGAGAGCTGCTGGCCATGGGGCCTCCGGACAACTGCTCCATTCCAACCAGTCGTGGCCAGAATAACATGTGTCTCACAAGTCAGGACCCAATTGGATGTGGTTTATCCTGATTTGGGTCTATAATTGGTTCTTTAGGGATTCTTATCAGAATCCACACTTTATCATCCCTGTGAACAATAAGTATAGTCCATTAATATACTTCCAATGGCATGTAGGTCAATATATACTCAAACAGATACTTTGATTGCATTTATAAAGCCCCAAGTTAAGGAGTCCCTTTGGGTATTGTCAAACATAAATACTTTACTTGGGGACCTCCTGCTTGGGTATTATGCCCAAGTTGGGCTGCTGGGACTGTCTGATGCCACTGTCTCATTATGTTGCAGGTCTATGTGCTGACTCCAGCAGTCGCAGGCTTGGAACAGACTGGGCCCTGTCTAGTCATTGTGCCAAATTGTGGCTCTTCCTTGCCATTAATATCACTATTCCAGGAATATCCTAATGAGGATATGGCAAGATTTCAACCAATGCCTTTTTCTTTTATAACAATCCCAAAATTTTTGTTTTGGAATAATTTTAGATTTACAGAAAAGTTGCAAAGATAGCACAGAGTTCCCACACATGGTGATGAGAATGAGCACCTCCCTAAATCTGCACCCTAAGAGCCTTATATACATCTAGTCTTAGCTCCATTCCCATGTACCCCCCACCCAGTGTCCCTGGATGTCAACTTCCTCCATTGCTGTAGTGCACTTGCCGGGGCTAGGAGATTAATTTTGCTGCATTACTATTAACCAAACAGGGGCTTCCTTGGTCTTTGCTTGGATTTTTCTAGTTTTCCCACTCATGCTATGCTTTGGTCCCAGGTCACACCCAGGGCAGCACATTGCAATTAGTGTGTCTGTAGGCTCCTCTGGTCTGTAATGGCTTCTCAGTCTTTAGTTGTTGTTTTTGATGACTTGACAGTTCGAGGGGTGCTGGTCCAGTATTTCGAAGAATGTCCCTCAAATGGCTTCTCTGATGTTTTTCTTATGTTTATACTGTGGTCCTGGGGACTTTTTGGAAAGAATACTGCAAAGGTGAAGGTCCCTTTGCATCGCATCATATCAGGGCACAGGATGTGATGTGACATTGTTGGGCATGGATAAACTTGACCATTTGGTTCTGGTGGAGTCTGCCAGATTTCTCTATTTTAACACTTCTCTCTCCCCTTTCTGTACTCTATCCTTCGGAAGCAAGTCGCACAGTTGAATCCACACTCAAGGGGGCAGGGTGGTGCTAAGTTCCACACCCTGGATGGGAAGGTATTTACATGTATAATTTGGAAGTGAGCTGCTTTGAGAGGTGGGTCCAGGTGTTCCCTGAACTTACCCTTTTGCAAACACCAGACGCCAGAAACAATCAGTGACTCAGACAGCTCTGGTCAGTAATGTTAATGACCATGAATGATGTTGGTGTTTGGAGCCCAGGGACCAATGCTATGTAGGTGGTGTGGCACTTGTGCTGATGGGCTTTTTGTCAAAAACAGTTGGGGCTGCATGAGTCTGAGTGGATGGTCCATTGATCTTGCCCCCTTTGGAGAATTGCACTGACCACCCATGGGTAATTTTCTGCCTCAACTGAGACCTACCACAAGGCCAGGGAACTGGGAACTTTCTCGACAATACATAGATAGCAGTAATTAGCAGAGACATCACAAGACAGTTTCTTGAATGAAGGTGGAACTGACAACCTCCTCTTCCAAAGCTATAATTAAAGAAGCAGTTGAGAAATGTTATCTTTCTCATCCTGCATGTGCAAACTTATCTGTCACAAATATATTGTTAAACTCCCTCTTAGGTCTCGGTTGTCACTTTCAGACACCTGCTTGCACAGATCATTTCTTATGCCTTTACCTAGAGTGCTTTTGCTAGCAGAGCTTACATCTTTATTTTTTTATTTTTAATATATTTTATTGATTTTTTCAGAGATGAAGGGAGAGGGATAGAGAGTTAGAAACATCAATGAGAGAGAAACATCGATCAGCTGCCTCCTGCACACCCCTTACCGGGGATGTTGCCCGCAACCAAGGTGTATGCCCTTGACTGGAATCGAACCTGGGACCCTTTAGTCTGCAGGCAGACGCTCTATCCACTGAGCAAAACCGGTTAGGGCAGAGCTTACATCTTTAAAGGGCTATCTAGATCTGGGGAGACAGGGTGGGGTCTGATAGTTCAACAAAAAGCAAATCCGATATATGTCTTTAACAATTATTTCAGTTACCAAGTTGGGGACAATTTCATTGAAAACCCAACCTTTTTGGATGGATTTTTTTTTCCATTAGATTTTTTTTTTATGGAAATAATCAACAGTGTTATCAGAAAAATAGACTGAAGTCTGGAAATTATTTATTGAGCTCTCCCCAGGAAGTCTAGGATTTTGTTTCTCTAATTTAAAATCTCTGATGCAGCAGCATTATTTGTAGTACTTATTTATTGTTGAATCTCATTATAGGAGAGGTGGTACTTTTCACCCCCATGGGATCCATGTGGCCAGATCTGGGCCCATAGATCTTGACGGCAAAAGGAAACAAGGCCTGTTCTCACTTGGGAGAGTCAGCCCAGGACAGAGCTGGCATTTCCTCTCACGGCAAGGTGGTGCTGTCCCAAAGACAGGAGGCAGGATCTGTGCCTTGATGTGCTCAGGGCTGGTGGCATTGTGGGCACTCGCTCACATTCTACAGAAAATACATTTTTATTTGCTGGCACAATCCCTAGGAGTCTCGGCCCAATTCCTCATCTTGAAAATGAGCTACCTGAAGGCCAGAGGAGGGCCGTCACTCAAGATCAAGAAACCAGTGTGGTGGCTCCGTTCACTCCTGCTTGGTTAGCACTAAGGATCAGGACCGATTTCTTTTTCTCAAGTTGGGTAGCTCTGGACTTAGAATATTGAGAATTCATCTTAGATAGGGTTATGTGAAATTCTCAAAGGGGCCACTCTGATGAGAGATAAGAAATTAGCTTTTTGGTAAGCTCTGCCAAATATCTGAAGTTCCCGAGTCTGAGGAGTTACTTATTTCATCTCCAGGGTCTTTATCACCCTCTTGTCCCATTTCATCAGGGAGCTGACATGTTCTGCTGTCTCTCTCCCCACCAGCGTTATTGCTTTGTCCTGTGAGCTGGTTAAGCAAAATGTTTCTGGGCCCTGTGGGAGCTGCGAGCTTGGAGGGTACAGGGCCATGAGGCTCAGAAATCTGTGCTCAGAATTTTATTCCTTTCTTCACCTGAAAACACACACCTTCTTCCTAATGACCACTGGCTCATGCCCTAGAGCAGCAGTCCTCAACCTATGGGTCGCGATCCTTTCACAGGCGTCGCCTAAGACCACCGGAAAACACTTATATTATTACATATTGTTTTTGTGATTAATCACTATGCTTTAATTATGTTCAATTTGTAACAATGAAAATAGATCCTGCATATCAGATATTTACATTACAATTCATAACAGTAGCAAAATTACAGTTATGAAGTAGCAACGAAAATAATTTTATGCTTGGGGGTCACCACAACATGAGGAACTGTATTAAAGGGTCATGGCATTAGGAAGGTTGAGAACCACTGCCCTAGTTTTCTGGACTGGTGTTAAGGAAATATGCTTCTCATTTTAGACCCCACGTCCTTTAAAACAGAACCCTTTGAACACAAGTAAACCAGGGTCCAGGGAGACTTAAAAGATGTAAAGAAAGAATGGAGACCATGGCTCTCTGTTCTCAACACACGCTCTTGCCTGACTTTGCCTGTGTCGTCATGGTGAAGCAGGTCACTGCCCACATAGCAGCTGGCTTTGGTTTAACCTGTGTTTTTCCAGGGAAGCTTTTGGCATAGAATGGACATTCCTAGAGTTGCTGGAATTGAGAGGGGGCAGGAGGCCAGGGGCCAGAATGTTTCTTTGAGGTGACCACAGCTATGCAACCTTGAGGAGAGGCGCCCAGGCCCCAGGGAGCTGAGCTTTGTCTACAAGTTACATCCTGCATTTCTGGAAGTCAGCTGTCACATGATCAACTCTAATAAGGATAGATGGACTGTCTGTTGCCTGGGTCTTGGTCAAGGAGGAATTGGGTTTATTACAAGGATTTCTTGCTCACACTGCTTGTGAGGCAAAAATAAGTCACCATATCAATTTCAAAGTGCTGCTATGAATGTCCATGGGTCGCACATGAGGTTTTTAATTAAACTTATCTAAGCAAGATTGTCCATCTGTATTATGTAACTGGACATATCTATTTGCACTTCTAATATTTATAATTTAATGTCAACATCATAATTCAAGATAAAATATGACGCTGGGCCATAGAAATACTGATGTTGACATGAATGCTTTTAAATGATTTTTAATGCACTTCCCACCAGGAGTGTTGAATTTTCAATTTTTTTTATTTTTTTATTTTTTATTAGAAACATTTATTTAAAAAAAAATCTTTGGTGACTAAAAAGGAAGTGGTGTAAGAGGCAGGACAGACCAGATCGTTCGCCCATTCAAAGGCTGCGTGGCTCGGAAGTTCAGCTGTAGCCGAGAGCCCTCAGGTCCCCACAGGGAGTCAGAGAGGCTGTGGAGCTGCTTAGCACTCAGTCTCACTGTCTGGTTGAAAACAGTCCAGATGACCCCTTGGGCACAGCGGGGTGTGGTCAGAGACCCCTCATATCGGAAGTAGCGGCTGAGATCCGAGGGCAGCAGTGCAGATACGTCCAGTCCTGGCACCCAAGTCTCTGAGTCTGCCTCGGCGACTTCTTCCAAATGAGACAGCAGCTGCTCATAGGCGCTGTTTTCTTCGGGGCCTTCCTGCAGAAAGGCGGCCAGTACGGCCAGGCCCCCTGGGCGCCCCAAGGCCTCGTCGACTTTGGCAAATGCAGTGCTGAGGTGAACCACGTGGATCTCGGCAGGGAAACGGTGGCCGCCAACCGTGTGCTCCGAGCCGGGGCGACCCGCAGACCCCCAGTGCAGGTGCAACTGCAGGGCCCGGTACTCCCGCCCGGGACCCAGGGCCATCTCCAGCCCGGGAGGCAGAGTCAGCTGCACGGTGTGGCCATTGTTTCGGAGGCGCAGTTCAGGGAGAGGCGGGAGCTCAAAGCCCTGGAGTTCCAGGGGTCCCAGGGCAGGGCAAAAAGCCGTGTGCTCCGGGTGGATGTCCACCGGGGACTGGAAGCAGCCGGCGCAGGTTGGGGACACCTGGGGCCAGGGCGGGTCGCCTCCATAGCGCCAATGACTGTGGTCATCCCCTTTGTTGTTCCCGTGAGTGGCCCTGGGAGCCGCAGTGGGTAGATCCTCTATCTTCGGGGTGTCCTCTTCTGCTTCAGTCTTCATTCCGGGCGTGTCCTCCTCTCCAGGCAGATCCTCTTCACTGGGCAGGTCCTCCTCGCCCAGTGGATCATCTTCCTCAGATGAATCTCCTCCCATGGAGGGAGTCCCCTGCATCCGGGATAGGCGCTGGGGATGGGTAGGTACCAAGAGCAGCAGTAGCAGCAGCAGTTGCACAGTGGGGCCTGGAGCAGGAGCTGTGATCTGCAGAGGGAGACCTGGA